TGCATGCTAACCTAAACCACTGCACATTTGAACTCTTGGTGTCATCTCCTTCATCTCACTGTGGCTCAGGTTGACTTTCTGTTGAAAAGAGCCTGCAGTAGCCATCTGGCAAGTCCAGAAAGCTGCCTTACATCTTGAGTCCCTTTTCTGATCTCTTTGAGAGTCTCTTTCAGCTTTGAAGCTTCATGCCTTTAATTTTACTGGGATTGAATTTTCCAGTACCTGGAGACTCAGAGTGGAGCTTGAATTTCAGCTTCTTGTCTATCAACTTCCCTGTCAGTCTAAAAGCAAGAATGATTGGCAACTGTTATTATTCCCTTTGGAAGTTTGATAAGTGATGGGTACTGTAACCACGCTGCCCTTTTAAAACAAAAGATAAAGATAGATAAGATAGTTGGAAACAAGTCTACATGCATGTCTGTTCTACGAAATGTTTAACAACACCAGATGATAATCTGATAACCAGCTGCTAAAAGACAAAATTAGCTTTTTTAGACTCCTGCTGGGCTGTTTGAGCAGGTTATTACCCAGTTACCTTAGTCTATATTGAGATCCAATTTTTAAATGACTAATTTTCCTTTGCTCTTGAAGGTGTTTGTGTCCACCAAGACTGTTTACTGAGCTGTAGTTTATGCTGAGCTACTGCTTTTCCCTCTTGTTACCCGCTTGTTGAATCAACACAGCAATAGAGAAAATAATTCTGATATAGTCAGCATAATGTCTTCATACATCGTTATAGAGCAGATCCATCCTCTATCATATCATCTAGCTTTCAGAAGCGTTGAAAGACTAAATTGGCTTGAGAAGGTCCTTGAGATCCATGCATAATCTCTGTGAAATACTCTGGTTTAAATCAAGTCCAACACACAACGCTTTCTTTTCAGTAGAGTTGTACTTTGTTCTTATCAGCTGACTAGTTTAAAAAAATGTTGTTTCACTCCTCCTCATCCCATCAACTTAACACAACTCCAAGCGAGTGAACTGTTGATTCCAGTTCATCTCTTGACACTTCAAACAGAATTATTTACTGAGTTTTAATCAATTACACCTACACAAAGTCACTGTAGGTGACAGGTTTGTACAGGAGTCACTGAGGGCATAGTTTGCTGATAATGGGGCAGCGTGGATGAATTTGAGATACTGATTTGACCCCTGGAACTTTACACTTTTGGACATATGCAAGGACCCTGAAAGAATCATGTTCCAGAACCCAAGCTAAATTTGCCCGGCTTGTAGCTGGAAAAAAATGGTTCTGCAACGTCTCCCATCCTGGAAACTGTAGTCAATGTAACTTAATATACACATAATTCAATGAGCCTGTTGTCACCAAACACATGATAAATTCACATATATGTGTCAGTCCTTTCATAATTGTTGCTTGCTAGGAAATCATACAAAGAAAATACCCATAGATTCTTCCAGAAATCTTAGGACTTGAGAATGCTGGGCACTGTATATATGAACGGCATGGTTATCCAATGACAGCCCGATGTCAGTAATGTGAATTAATGGAAAGTCTTGGGACTACAAACTATTAACACAATTCATTGCGAGATTGTAGCCCGATTGCATCAATTCTTGCAATGAATTGTGTATGAATCCCTTGAGTCAACGCTGTCTGATTAAAAAATGACTTGTGGCTGGATTTGAATACTTGTAATAAAAAAACCAGCAACTGACTATTATGCAAGGTTTATACACTTTCCCCATGGACTTTCACAAAGATGCCACATTTTTGACACCTTTCCAGCATGCTATTTAGAGGCACCATATTCTGGGCAGGCAGGATGCTAGACTACAAATGAGAACACCTGGGTCCTTTTCCCCATTCTGACATGCACTGGGCAAATAGCACCTCAGTTCCTCAGATTCCCTATTTGCAAAAGAGACAGAAGTCACTTACATACCGTATTGATACTTTAGTATCAAAAGAGGATGATACTGTTATTTAAGTTGTTCTTATTTCATACAATTCCTTTAAAATATTCCTTTAAAATTAATTCCTTTACAAAAATTCATTTAGAAATGATTATATATTCATAGGATTAGTAGCATCTGTCTAAATGTAAATTTACTCCTTCATCCTATTAAGTAGCTATAATGCATATTTTCAATCTCCATAAACCTCCTTACTCCATAAGGAATATTCTGCTCTCATAGGTAAGCAGTGGGAATTTGAAAAGGCTTTCTAAAGTACACTCATACTCTGTATGCACGTTGTAGTAAATCAAAAAGACCCAGAAGATACAGATTAAAGTAAACTGCTGGTGAGGAGATAATTTAGCTGTTCATTCACCTCTACAGTTCTGAACCAGCAGCAGATTCTGGGCCGTAGGAAAGCCCATTCCATGGCAGTTGATAAGATGGGGGTCTTGTGTTTGTTCATGTAACACGAATATATGTTTTGCATATCTGTTCTAGAGGGTCGGCTGACCATCATTTGTTTACATTTGTTGAGGAATTATTATATCAATTAAAACATGGCAGGTGTTCCTACGAAGTGAATTCCTTGCTTCTGCTTTCCGCTGTTTCTGATCTTAAATAAATAGTCAAGTGAAATTGAATCAGGACAGAAAGATGGAAGAAACCCATGCTGTGTTAAAGTCTTCCTATGTAAGTCCATACATATTGTTATGAATGACGAATTTAAGTATAGGTATCCACTAATGTGCCAGAAAATCCAGGAACTGATAGATTGTATCAGACCCCAGGTCCTTCGGATCTGGTGTCTCATATTCCAGTATAGCTTTTCCTCCTGCTTCAAAGGAAGGTATAAAAAAAAGGAATGTAAAATGCTGTGCTTCTGCAGAACTACTGTCTTTGCTGGAGCGATAACCATGGTCAGGAAAAAATATATATGGCATGCCAAGCAGAACCCCAAACTTCATGGGTTTGAACTCATTCTCAAGGGATAATCCCTTTCTCAACACACGACTCAAATAGCCAGAATACTTTAGGTTCAGGGAAAAGAAACTTCCCCGTTAATACCAGCTCTGAAGCTGCAGGTGCCACATTACAGTGGCTCCCACTGAGATTGTATCATTTTCACACATATCACAAGTGAGACGGCTTGGATCTGCGGTCCGAGACCCCCAACACCAGCCCTGCTTCTCTGCTGCTTGCATACATGCAGTCGTTCCAGAGATGTGCACAATAACCACATGCACAGTAACTGCTGTAAGGCTGAACATTATTCAGGTTATTTATTCCTCTCGTTTTTTAAATAAGTTTAAGATTAGGAAGGATCTGGAGCTCATTGTTGTAATTTAGACTTCTGCATAAAATATCCATGTAGATAATCTCACCAGTGTTTGCTCCACATATCAGAATTTCAAGGCAAACTCAACTGTTTAGTCTGTCACTTTGCTGCGAAGTTAAATAACGTCAATGTACATCAATAGCTTAAATATACATACCCTACCACCTATGATGTAGTAACTTCTGTTTGCAGAACAGGATACCTAAATTCAAGCTGCTAACTGCAATTTGAAGAGAACAGTTAATAGGTGTGATATATCTTAACATTTCTGTGAGGCTGTATTTATTCAGAACAAGATGATTCTAACTATCAGTGAAGAGAGGAGGTAGTGAATGTCGACTTATTTCATAAGAAAAACAGGAGTCTGCTATATCTTATCATTATATAGCCAAAACAAAAAGGAGGTGCCAAAGTACTAGCTTTCTTCAGAGATACTCCACTGCTATCTGTCTAGTGCCATTGAACAGAAGGATCCAATGTCATTTGGGCCTGACTGTGATATACAGTGTTTTGGTGACATTATCAGGACATGTAACCCTATGGAAGCCAAGGGGTTCATAATTTACTACATGTTTGCAACCACTTTGGGGAGAAGAATTTTCAATAGCAGTCAGCTCATATTGGCAATAAAACAAAGCACATCTAGGAAGAGAGGAAGCTTAACTTCATCAACTACAATGGGAAGTAGAGGCAGTCACAGTAGAGTTAATGATGTGTTAAAACTGCGTGGGCAGTAGGTTAACATCATTAATTCCAGGATGTTTTTTCACAGGAGCAGTCAGAACCTTCGTTTTATGAAACCAGTACTGTAGTGTTCACAACCATAAGAAGAAGTGAAAGGGGTAAAATGGGTTGTAAGCCCACAAAGAGTTGCTTTCTACAGTACATTTTCTAGCATTTTTTTGAATCTGTCTTTAGGTCTGTACTGATCATTGAAATTACGTATGTCCTCAAGCTGAACCTTCTGATGATCCTAAAGTGTACTGCTCCATTCAGTTTCTGATGTCTGTTAAAACTGAGAAAATGATACAGAACTCCATCCAGGTCATCACCCAGTCTTTTTGCCCAGTCTGCAATGTTTGTAAATTGTTTCAAGAATAGAAAGTCCACATCAGCAATCACATAATTCTTTGATTCCGATTGCTGAACTGCACATAAAGCAAGACTAGTAACCCATCATAAAGAGACAATCAACAATTCAGCTGTTTCTCAAGCGTTTTAGATGTTGTTCCCATTTTCCTGTAATAATTTGGCCAGCTAGACAATCACTGCTGTGCTGTGTAGTGTCTAAGCTCACAGACCTCGATCTCCTTTACCCCTACTGGCTCAGGGACATTGATTCACTCTGCACATGGTTGCCAGAGAGGAGAGAATTTTCAGAAGGAAGAGCAACGGGTAGAGAAAAATGGGGAAAGGAGGGAGACAAAAGTCAGGTTTTTCCTACAATTTCTCACATTCCCACAGGATATGCTGTTCATTCCTCCACCAGGGTCTTTGCTTGTTTTGAGAAACTCTAATGAGTTTCTCAAAGTGAGCAAACTCTGGTGAGTTTGCTCAAGTGAGCAAAAGGTATCTTGGGCGCATTAAAGTAACTTTAAGGTTGACCCTAAATATGAGTTTAAATTTGCTTTTAAAGTCCCAAGAAACTTATTGTGGAAAAATGTTCTTCCCTATGGTCTTTCACTTCTACTTCATTGTTTAGCCATATTTCTTTTTCTTAATTGTGTTTTGTTATTTCCAGTTACATTTTGCAAACACAATGCCTCCTATCCCACCCCGTGTGAACGCTCTTCTTCACTTAAAGGAAGCATTGGAAACCAGCATCTTAATCTGGACCATTTGGTCATCCTACTTCAGTGCCTTCGCTTTGAAGGCAGCATGAGGGACACCTTCGGCAAATACACCACAAGCAGGCCTTCCCATTTCGGAATTAAAACCAAACCTCTGCTATTCGTGAACGTCACGTGGCTTTGTCTGGCACTGAGGTGAGGCGAAACTTCTGTTGCCTTTTTCAAACACAGGCCTGTTACAGCACTGCAAGGTCGTGTTGCATCAACATAAGATTTCAAAATATAGTAAAACCAACTTGGCTTCAGATTATTTATTTATTTATTTATTTAGTGTCTAAGAGGGCAGCAGCATTTCTGACAGAAAGAGGATTTGGAACATCTGTCCTTAGCTTACCACTGACCCTAGGGAAGCAACCCATAATCCGCATATTTTAATTGTCACTGGGGTTTGTGGGCTGTGGAGGGGTGGGAATGTGAGCAAGTATATTTCTGGAGTTATAATTAATCCTACTTATTGTACGTGTGTGAGTTATGTGTCAGCCTCATCATTGTGGGAATAATGGAGTTACAAAGAGAGGTGGAGGTACTGGTTGGAGAAAGAGGAAATTATAGCACTTTCACTGTCTTTAGTCACCCATGTGCCTTGGAAAGGCTCTCTTAAAACATAGTAGCATGCTGGCAAGAATTATCCCTTAGTTTTCTACAGCCTGAGGATTATTCCAAGTGTGTCCCTAGAGCTTTTTGGCTAGTGAGATTCACTAGGAATTTGAATTTGAGGCAGCAGCAGAAGTCAGTGCTTGCTAAATGACACAAATTGGGGCTTCCAGTCATTTTGACAATAGATGGAGCAGAAGCACCGGATCAGAGTCCCCTGCCCACCTCTGCTGCTCCCTGGGACACACTGCTGCTCAGCATCTGCCCCACTCTCCCAAAGGAGCCTGGAAAGAAAGAAATGAAACATTCCGCAGCAACTTTTTTCACTTTGTAGTAGGCAGTTAAGATATACCCTGGCTATTATTTAATGCAAAATCTCTTTTGAAACGTAGTCATCTTCTAAAACAGCATTGAGTATTTCAAAATTTTCCTATGAAAAATTTCTTCAATGTAATCTAGACTGATCCTGCATTAATACAGACTCTGTATCGTATTTCAGAATACATTGCGGCAGTGAAAAAAAACAGCATACCAGAAGCATTCTTTTATCGTAAATGTTTATGTGCTGATGTACACATTTTGTGTGACCAAAACCAAATGTTTCTGCAAAAGTGTCATCTGACAACTATATCTTTTTTTGCCTGCGTCTCTTCCTCTTTCTGTGTCCTGATGCCATGAGATGATGCCATGCTGAGTCATCCACGTGGTGACAAGATACACCATATTATTAGTAAACAGGTTTGACTTTATATTAGTGCTTGTCAAAGATTTGTTTTAGTTTCTAGGTACACTACTTGACATAGACCAGTTGCAAAAGATAACCCTCCTCTGTGGCTAGTCAGAAGACACCAATTTCTTTGCCACTGTAGTTTCCCAGAATACGAAGACTTAGATTCTTTTTATCATAGTCCAATTTATGTAAAATGATGGGTTAAAGGTAAAGGAAGTTTTGTTCGTTTTGTTTGTTTTTGTTCCCTCAGTATCCTGTCATCAACAGACACTGCCTCATAGTTCAGCCCAAATTCAAGTTACTTACCTGGATGCAAAACTGCCTTTAACACAGTCTCATATGAATAGACATCTTTTGCTCAAACAAAAAATTATTTCATTATTCATTATTTCATTTTCATATTGTGAAAGCTTAAAAATTGCCACAGAAATTATCGGCCCAGTATATAATTGTCTGTAGTCAGCAGCAGTTCAGCTATGGTGTTCTCTGTAGCTTCTAGTGTACAAAATTTCAGGGTCCAAATTCAGACCTAGTGCAAATGTCTGTGGTTCCCATGAGAGTCTAGTAAGCTGACTAAATGCCATACTGGCTGTTTTCATTTAAAAAAGATTTGATAAATAGTACTATGTTAAATAACAGTAATTCCAGGAGAGCTTAATCCTAATGTTGGAAAATAAGGTGATGCTAACTCTACTCCACCTTGGATCATGAAGCAGGCATTATTGTTTTCCTTACACAAGTGTTATGTGGCTTGAAAAATACTTTATATTGAACACAAACAAAGTAAACTTTATTGTGCATCAGCAAAACTATTGAATAGTGCAAAGGCAGTGAAATATGGACAGAAGTTATTTGTATTACATAGCACTTCCCAGGAAACAAGTTGATTTTAGCCCTGTTCGTACAGAAGAGGATCCAGTCAATCAGTAAGCCCAGCTGTTGATTATCTTAGCAGAGTGACCTGAGGAAGGAAGGTTACAAATGGTAAATTAACATGTGCCCTTAGAAGGGGCTTTCCACGCTGGGTCCTGTAGACATCAGTGACTTGATGAACAAAAGCGTCTTGCTGCTAGAATGGTACTATTCTATAGGTAAATAGACTTAATCCTCCAGAGATAAATCAAAGGCCAATGAAATCATTAATCTTTATAATTAATAAAAAGAGGAGGAAGTACATGGGTGAATCAAAACCCTAGTAGGAGTCCAAAAGTCCCGCCATTCTTTTCCGATATTACCTTGGAGCAATGTGCTAGAAGAAACAGATGACCCAGGCTGTTGATCCTGCCTATTACTTTTTGTAGAGATGCTACTTGCAAGAATAAAATAAAAAATCTTTCTATCTGGTATCCCAAGCCACTCTGTAATTGTGAGGTTGAGTCAAGATATTAAAACTGGCATGTTAGGGACCTAGAGTATCTCTGTCAAAGCCATGGCTGCCGGTCACAAAAGGAAAAGAGTACCATATATGTATGCTGTGGTGGAAAACGTGTAGCCATTCCCAGGGCTAGGCTCAAAATATCCCCCAACTCTCACCTACCATTTCAGAAAGCTTGCTTATCAAAACTGCCTAAACCTGAAGGCCAACAGATAAATTCTTTAACATGAGGAAGGACCCTGCACTCACCTACCATTGAGCAGCAATTGTAGGAAAGGCTGCTGGTTCAGAGGCAACATGAATTCCATAAGAAGTTTAAAATGTATCAGAATTTTGTCAAATTGGGAAAAATAGCAAATATTTAATGAAATAAATGATACTGTTCTTATCCTCAAGAACAGAATAATAACTTGTAGCCATAAATTCAATGATGCTCACTTTTTAATAAATGGAGAGGCTTTCCCTGTTTGGAGGCATCCATAAAACAAAGTGGGACTTAGTGATCAGCCACCAAAAATTCACAGGCCTCAGAGCTGTATATATATCTTTCTCAGATGAGGAGGCAGGAACAGGAGTCCAGGGCACAGAGCAGATTGACCAGTTTAAGCTGTTCAGGGGACACATACCTGCTTGCTGATGTGACTGTCAGTGCAAACAATCAGTCAAAAGTCAAGACAAGCAGCAACAGGGAATGGGTCAGGAATGTGAGTCCGCATGCTTATCCATTCAGTATTTTTAAAGTCAGTTTATCTGAATAATGCTGAGAATTCAGAAGGATGGTAATAATCTTCATACTGTGATTTTGCTTACAGATCTATCTTAAACCACTGCTGCTGTATGAGGGTTTTCCAGCTATCTCTCAGTGATGGCTGGCATATGGCCTCTCCTCTGTGAGCTCAAGCTCTGCTATCTCTTCCTCTGATGCCAGGACAGCCCTTTCCTTCACTATCAGCAACCGGGCAAAGGCACTGCCCCAGTAATCTTAGGTGACCAATGCACAGGGAAAAGAGGTGTGAAAATTACCTCTCTGCACACAGAAGGCCTCAGGGAATTCTCTGTTGCTGTCCCTAAGAGCTTTTTCCCTGCTCTCACTGGCCTAGAGACAGACTAAGCAGGGTATCCTCTCCTTCTGCAAAAATGACTCACAAGGACTTCTGCTACCATCTGAGGACAGTCACGCAGAACGAATATCATGTGACCTGAGGCCAATCACAGCTGGGAATTTGGATTAAAAATCAAAGAGGAATGAGAATAATTGCCACAAAATACTCCATCCTTCAAGGCACAGAAAATTGTCTAACAGGGAATAAAGGCAGCATTTACTTTTATTAAAAGTGCTCCTGTTTCACTATTTTTTTCTGACCCTAGAAACACTCATATTTTGATGGAGAACAATTCTCCCTTATGAGTTTTGCTTAGGGAAGCAGATCTGTGAAAAAAACAATATATGGTCTGTCTCAGACTGGGAAGAGCAAATATCATGCCTGGTAAAAACCACATGCACCTTGCACTTCTTTACAGTAGATACGCATGGGGTGGCATCCTAATGGCAGGGTTAGTACAAGGAGAAAAGTTTGCATGTGTAGTCTGGGTGAAATGTTTGAGGAGTGTCCAAACTAGATTTTATAAGGGGATTAACTAGTTCGAGTTAATTGTCAGTCAGTTAACCAGAGGTGAAATGCCTATGTGTGGTGGATACAAGGTCCAAGTAGTATTTTGCTCTGAGCGTTTGCCTTGCTTTCTGTAGAACTACTCATCGAGGAAAGTGTGTTGCCATGTAGGTGTGGCAGGACTGTGCACACAGTGGAGAAGGGTTTATGTTCCACCTGTTGGAAACAACCATCAGTGGTTGTATTTTTGGGATAATGCCCATTTCTGTATTGCTTATTTCAGAATAGGCACGGGACTATGGCTGACCTTACTGCTGCACTGTGCAGTCACAAACACAGAAAGAGGCCATTCTCTTCACTCTGTGCTGTCTGCTTTAGCACTGTGTTTGCTCTTCAGTTAATCAGTTACTGACTCCTTCTAGATGTCCAGATTCTCCAGGTCAGTGCCAAGTGGTATGGTTTGATTCAGCTGTAGTTACACATTTACCCAATTCTGTACTTCCTAAATGGAGTAATAATCAGACACCAGTACAGTCTGTAAGTCACAAAGTTCTCTTGCTGATAATTTTGTCATTTTATTATCATCTGGCAGCGAACTGCTGCTATCAATTTGGCAGGAATTGAAGCAGTGGTATTCTGCTTACTGTTTGTCACTCCAGTATTTTGTCTATATGCCCAATCCTACACAAGCAAGCCAAGGAATTTTGCTAACTCAGCTATGGCACTTACACTTTGCAAAGCTCTGTAAACACAAGTTCCTAAAGAAGAAATCCAAGAGCACGTCGCGGCAGGGAAAAATATGTTTTAAATACATTTAGTGAGAATTACTTAAACAGTTCATCAATCAAGTGACAGATAAAAAGTAAGATCTTGTTCATAATCCTTCTTTGCTTTGGGTAGAGTAAAAGATAGGTCTATGGCAGGAAATTAAAATCGTATTTTATTTTTCCACCTGCCTCTTTCTATTATACTTTGGCCAATGGTGTGTAGTCTTAGTAAATTCCATAACAGACCCCAGGGCAATGTGGGAGCATTAATGAAACATCATTATAATATTTTCTGGGAGTGACTGCAAAAGCTAATCGTAAGATTGTAGGTTCGCGTCAGCTATAGGCTGTTGCATATACGCTCAGCCAGCCTGTAACAGGGAAAATAACTAAGCTGAAAAATAGATAAACATTAATTTCCTTTATTTGCTTCAGGAACAGATTTCCAATAGCATCCAGTCAGAAGAATGATATTTTACTTATAGTGGTTCGTTCTTCTCTTGGAAGGGTTGAATTTTATCATCTAAATCAATAACTGCGGTCCTTAGTAGGCTCAAACCTTCAGCCTCTGCTAAATTAGTCCAATTGTGTGTTTTGTCATATTTTCTGTTACTTTAAAACAGGCAAGCAATGACATAGAAAATTCAGTAATATAAAGGATTTGAGGCAAAACTGTATTTTATCTGGTGTCCACTTTTATTCCAGATGAAATTAATACTCACTTTGTTGTTCAGCTCTGAAGAACAGGGATTTAAAGAAGCAGTAAAGAGCAATTGGGGCACCAAGGTGAGATGCTACTGTTAGGAAAAGTGGGCATGGAGGTGTTGGAGAAGGACTTGAACCTTTCAGTTTGAAACAGAGGAATAGAAAAATAGTCCTAGAAGAAGGCAAGTTATCTTCGAATCCTTTTCCCTGTTCTAAGGCAGGATCTGTGAGACTTAAACTATTTCTGATAGAGTGAAGGGAAAAAATAGACGTAGCTGGTAGGAATACCTGAAAGAGTGACTGCTGTAGAGGATTGTTACTGTATAGTTCCCCTTTCCCTGAATTAGGTTTATTTGAGGTCAGATGTATAAATCTTTGTGTAACAGATGCTGTTGTACAATAGCAGGTGTAGCCTGCGCTCCTGCAAAATCTCTTGCTTTTTATGAGCAAATCTGTGAATTGCACATTCACACAGGTAGTTAAACATACAGTTAGTCTATTTGTTGTCTCAAAGGTGGAGCTTTGCAGGCTTTGCTAGCTGCTCCAGATCTGAAAATGCTATTGCCAGTGAAATGGAAAAAACCCAATACATTTAAGCTAAATAAAGGAAACACACTTTGATGGGACACAATTAACTTGTGGCTCCTGTTATGATGGGACTTTGTTGAAGACATTTACTTGGTAAGCTGTTTCTTTCCATGGATAAAGCTTTGCTAATAAGAACATTATGGACATATATATATAGCATAAGCCTTTCTCTCTTTGCAAGTAATTAATAAATAACTAGCTCATTTATAGGAATAAGCATAGTAGCAGTAGTTATATTAGCAGTCAGCAGCTGATCATGTGATAATTGTTGCTCAATTCAATCTGTTAAGGGCATTTTGTACTTTCTGCTAAAGGAGCAATTCCCCGCACTTTTGAGTAACATGAGCAACACTTTAATGGTAATACTGCCATGTAAGTCCTTCTTCTGTTCTTGGATGCACCCAGTCAAAATTTTCACCTCACCCATCCGTAGTCTGCAAACTTTACTGCTTCTTCCAGCTCTGATTGCATATTATCCCCATGGCAATTACAATTGCTTAATACAAACAAACATGAAGAAAGCATTTAATGTATTGTTGCTTGTTCTCTAATAATAAATGCAACAGTTGAAGACCAAGAGGAGAAATGTCACCCTGACCAGCCAGTTCTAAGCACCCAGCTCTTTGGGAGGGGCTCCAGTAACATGTGCGGTGCATCCTGAAACAGCTCTCAGACAAGACTGGACCATGCTTTTTGGAATGGAGCCCTTTTTCTTGAATCTTAAGTGAAAAGCATCATCACATCACACCTATTACAAACTATTCAAACTGATCCTTTTCTGATTATTTCCAGACAGTTGCATATGAAGAGTTCTAAATTCAACCTTAGGATGGTCTCTCAGAACTTGTTCCTGCAATTAAGCACTTTCTGAAAGATGCTGAACGCCCTATAACATTTTTACATGCATATAGTGCAAATGAATGATATCTGTCCCTCTCAAAGAAGCTCAGCACTGTGCAGGATTGAGCATATACGCTGTAAAGTAAATATCTAAAACTCTTTCAGCAAGGCTGAGCCAAGATCCCAGGAAAAGCCAATGACAGTTGTCTTCAGTGAAGGGAAATCATTGCAGCACTTGGGCATCTTGAAGACTTGGAAACAACCTTGGCAGCCACATCCCAGTAGGGAGAGAAGCATATACAGTCACAACAAGTGGAAGGGATGTAATTACAGTAAAATTTTAGATTATTCAAATAGACCCCCATATTTCTTGTGCCTCAGCTTTCCTTTGCCTGACATGAAATAATTATGTCCTGTTTTTTGCAAGTCTCATGAATGT